TCATAAAGCATTGTTTACACCTTTGTCTTGGTCTCTGTCATTTTAGGGTGGCTGGGAGGGAGGGGAGACAGAAGAGGTCCTTGATGTAAGAATCATGTGTCATGATGTTTGGGGCCATGTTTATAGGTCGGACATGGTGTGGGGGTACACCATGACTCCGTGACTCAGGTGCCTGTTGTAGAGGGAGTCCGTCACTGTGCACATTTTGTGATTGTGTGCTGGAGGCTCATGCATGTAACAGTGATGTTCTTGTTTGTGACGTGAGTGATGGTATCTACGAATGTGTGCAGCTTGTGTGTGTGACACTGTTGTTTGTGAAGACTCCGTGTCCTCGATGATTGTATCTGTGAGGCTGGTGGTGTTTGGGACGCCAAACAACATGAATAAGAAATCTGGCCTGTGAGTGATACCTATGCATGTCTGATATCTGAAAGTCCCAGGCAGTGTCTGACTATTGGGTGTGTGACTGCATGTGTACCCCTGAAGTCCGTGTGTGTTTTGATGTAAATTTGGCTCCTTTGACACACCTATGTGTGACCATGAACCCTGTGTATGTCCCTAAGCACTGTGTGGGCCTTTGTGCAACCCTGACTCATGTGCATACTGGAGACCAGTGTATTCTCACTTTGTGTCCAGGTGAACCCGCTGACACCGCACGTGCTCTAACAGGGACAGGTGCAGCCCTCTCCAGACATTCCCAACTGCTTTGTTACCCCCAAGTCAACTTTAACCCTCCATAGGGAGGCTTGAGACTCGGCTCAGCCTAGGAGATGGCGGAGGGGGCGGGGCATTTAAATAACTCATCTGCACAGTTCTCCCAGGCCCAGCTACCCAAAATGTTCTTAAAGACAGGAGGCTATCATGCAAATGTCTTCTCTGCGTAGCATTCCTAGGTGGCTTTTTTCCGACTCCCACAATTGTCACGAGGAGACAAAGGCAGAGTAGGTCATGATACGTCTGCACATTCCTTCTAGATTGCTCTCAAGGACGTTCCGCACTTTTTCCTCCGTTATAAAAAGGCCTTATGTAAATTATCACTTACGTGTTAATTTACATACATTTCCCAACTGACTGCGTCGACATTTCTCAATATCTCATCCCTATTCTTGGGCAGTGAGAAGGCGGAGCTGTTCATGTAAATGATTCCGATCCTCTGCATGCCACGCCCCTACCCCGCCACTCATTCCGCGGCGTTCTCGGCTCAGGGGGTGGGCTCGTCCATGTAAATAGCCTTATCTGCATATCTCTTCCACAGCGCCTGGCATGAGCGCAGAAACTCCCTAAACCAACCTTTTCTGCTCTCGCGCGAAGGGGGCGGAGCGTAGAATGCAAATGACCCTCGTGTCAGCCGGCCCACCTCCCCTTCTGAGGGGGTTTGTTCCGAACGTCCTCGCTCCGCCCCGTGCGGCTCGCGCCTGCGCACTGCCTCCTCTGCCCGGGCGCGGTCACGTACCCACCGGGCGAGGCGGGGGCGGAGC